CCTTATTGAAACAATATTCTCAAACCACTTTCTGGGATCTTAGAATACCCTCTTATCTGCTTTTTTAAGACCATCTATCATATAGTATCTTTGCTATAAGTCAGGCTATTTAAAATAGTGGTTCTCAAACTTTAGTTTTTATCACAATCACCTGGAGGAGTGATTAGTCTTCCTGGGTCCTACCTCAAAAGTATCTCAGTGGGTCTGGGATAGACCCAAATACATTTTTAAGTTCCAGGTAATGCTGATGCTGCTGGTCCAGGGACCGTACTTTTAGAATACTGATCTAGTCAAACTCAAAAAATTTTAGTGGCTCTCTAGTATAAGTCAGTAATTGTTTCAAGTCCAATTACTATCATATTGACTCTTTTAGCATGCATTTGAGCTTCTAATGTGCCAAGCGCTGTGCTCACTCTTCACACAGGTGAAGAAGATAAGCAGCCTCCCTCCACGAGCACAGTTAACAGTGGTAATATTGCTTAAGCTCACTTAATTGTCACAGGAACTTATGAATCAGGGCATGGAATCCTTATTTTAGATGGGAAAAAAAAAAAAATACGAGGTCTAGAAAGGTTTAATAATTTCCCAGAATTCACAGAGTGAGTAAAGACTTGTGGACCACAGGAGGGATGGAGTAATTAGTTTTACCTTAGGAAATCAAAATGCAGCACAGAAAAGATGGCACTGGAGCATCTAAAGCAGGGGTAAGGAATGTATAATGCCCGAGAAATCATTTGGACTGGCCCTGTCAAGGCATTAGGGGTGAGTTAATTAAATATTTGACTAAATATAGCAGGCTAATGTTTAAGTTGATAATTTTGTGTGTGGCCCTTGAATGATGTTAAATATCATCCAAATGGCCCTGGGCAGAAAAAAGGTTCTCCACCCCTGAAAGGAACAAGTGAAAGAGAACCAGGTGAATTAGAACTGTCAGCATTTCCAGTTGAGGGAGCAGTTTCTGCAAAGACATGGAAACCTGAGAGAATATGTGTTCCACAACCAAAAATAGTTATGTAAGACCATAGCACAATAGGCCAGATGGAGTATGAGAGAGGAGACTAGAAAGAAGGGTCCAAGGTCATGAAGAGTTTTGTATACCAGGCTAAGAAGTTTTTTTTTGTTTGTTTTTTTTTAAATAGAATTAGGTTTTATTATTCTTTCTCTTAACCACTTTCATCTCTGTAAGCCAGTGGTTCTCAAAGTGCATATGATATGGTCTGTCCGGCAGTGGGGTCAGCATCACCTGGACACTTGTTAGAAATGAAAATCCTAGCCCCATCCAAACCTGTATCAGAAACTAAGCAATCTGGATTTTAACTAGACCACCAAATGATTCTGCTACTAAAGTTTGAAAACCACTGCAATAGGTTCTAGAATTCACAGCCTTCAAAATAGCTAAAGGTCACCATAATGATATAGTATTTGTATCTGTGACTGATTTAATTCTGTTAAAGTACAATGCTTAACAAAATTGAAATAGTAATACCTTTTAAGTGACATACATATTTTCAGCATGATTTATTTATTTTTAAAAACCTATTCCTCTGTATCTGTTAAAAGAGGGCTGAGCCAGGATTAGAGATTACTAAATCAGCAAAGAATAGCATGCTAATTATTGTTTCTTAACTAAAGGAATGGTTTGGAAACATACTGATTTTAATTTTAAAAAGAGAACCAGTGAACCCTTTTTAGAGTTTGAGCTTTTTGTTTTTATTTTGTTGATTTATAAAATTGAAGTTAAAAGTAGCATTTCAGGTGTTTTAATTAAAACGTGTTGAAAGAATTGAGTGTATTTAAGTCATGATATGGCTAGAACTAATTCAGTTTTCCCATAGAAATAAGAAATATAGAAAGTATATTCTAAGATTCTCAGGCAAACTTTAAATGCCTATCACTATCTTTTTAACTAAGTTGTGGTCAGTGTAAATATTAATTATCCTATATAATAAAATGCTAATATGCTAATTTAACCGGATGGTGCAACCACCTTCTGGAACGACCAGTGGGCAGAGCCATGGGCTGTGGGGCTGCAAGGCAACCGGGCTGTAGGGGCTGAGGCAGCCAAGGCTGCAAGGACTCAGCCCCTTGCATGAATTTTGTGCATCGGGCCCCTAGTATATCAGTAGGTAGGTAGGTAGGTAGGTAGGTAGGTAGGTAGGATAGATAGATAGATAGATAGATAGATAGATGATAGATAGATAGCACTTTAGATATACAGAAGCCTTTTTTAATCTTAGAAAAAATAGCATAAAAAAGTGAGGTAGTATGCTGCAATTAATGTGGTTAATGCTCAGATAAACAAGCCTAGTGTTTTCCATGTATTGATTCAGAATTTTGAGGATTTAGAAGTGGCAAGCCCCTGCCAATTCTATATCCTCACCAGGCTAAGAAATTTTAAAAATAGAATTAGGTTTCATTATTCCTAGTGAGGAATTGACACCAATCCCTTCATTTTACAGATGAGGAAACTGAGGTCCTGGGAAGTTAAATTGTTGATTTGGTAGTAGTCATGTGGGTAGTGAGTAGCAGAACCAGGATTATGACCAGATCTACTTGGATTATAATGTAAAAGGCACTACTACTACATCTGATCCCCAATTTGGTATAACATTGAGGGTCCACATCATCTAAAGTATAGTAGTTAAGATATGTTACCATCTACATTTTCTTGGGTGGGGTATACTTTATAAAGAGTATTTAGTAAAGTTTTATAGAAAAGTTGTTTAAAGGCTTTTTTTTTGTATTGATACAGTGGGCTAAAGTATCATATTTGTCTTTATAAAAAGACCTAATAACTGTCCTTCAAAATTTACAAAAACCCCAAGGAAAGGATATAAATCCTCACTACTCCCAAAGATGACAGTTATTCAGCCTTCATTGTCACTGTCATACAGATGCTGAAATTTGAACTTGGGATGTACTTACCTGCTAGAATACTTCCAATTATTTCCAGGAAAAACTGGTCCGAACCACATACCTTAGTAAGTGATTTTGCCAGCTAGTAACCTTTAATCAAAGCTTATAGATCTGCCTGAATGTTGAGTTCCTTGTTAACACTGCAAGTGCTTTTTGCCCTAAAGCCCTCTGAATCATTTTTTATAAGCCAGTTTAAAAAATTTTTAAACCAGATGTTAAAGTATCAAATATATAGAAGAAAAGTCATCATCTGACGCTTAATGCAATAAGTAACTACTAGAATTTCCAACTGAAAGACAACTTAGGGTATTTAGTTGGTAAATGAAGTTTAAGAGGTGTGGAAAAGGTACAATTTATTCAAAATTTCTCTTTTTAAAGTCACTGAATTGAGAATAGAATAAAATTGGGAGTTACTTTTAAAGTAGCATGCCATAGGCAAATTAGAAAAGTTGAAAGTACAAAGGATTTTTAGAAGTCATCTATTTTGAAAATCTCATTTTCAAAATGAGAGCTCTGAGTCCTGAAATTGTAAGAATAGACTTAAATTACTATTTTTTGTTTTAAATAAAACCCAGATGTTTTTTTATTTTAAGAGGTGAAAGGGAAATTGCATTTTTTAGAATAATTAATGAAATATTATAATTTTTTCCAGTGCATCTGGGGCAGGTGGTGTAGCCATTGACAACAAAATTGAACAAGCAATGGTAAGTAGAAGTTTATAATCCTCTCATTTTATGGATTGTTGGTTCTATTGAAGCACTTGGTTTTTATCAGTTCTAAAAAACAAACACCTACTATTTAAAACAAGATGACCAAAGTACTTTTTTTTATAATGAGATTTAGTTTAAGTTGTTCAAACATTGAAAATTTTAGCCTAAAAATACCAATGGAGTTAATATTTTTTCCATTTTAGCATCTCACATTTCATGCATTACCATTGATAAAAGACCATCTTGGGAGATATACTTAATCAAAATGCATTATGTTCCCCCAAATATTTCAGCATCAAAAAGAGTTTAGAGACAAAAGAGCATTAAAATGAAAACTTCAGCTGGAAAGTTGTCATCCTTTGGTCATTTACAGGCACTATTTATACTCTCTTAATAAGTTCATTTGTTTCTATTGATTCTAGTTCTGATTTCTATTATTATTAAAACTTTTTGTTCCCTTAAAGATAGTCTGTATAAGGACCATTAGTCCCAAACTTTTTAAAAAACAAGGTTTTAAAGTTGGAAATTATAGATCCCCTATCTCTTAAAGTAGTACCATGTAACCAGTTTAATAAGAGAGAGTTTAAAGTCCTTTGTTCTCTTAGCCCAACATCTAAGCATATGGTTTTTCAACTTTGTTGTTGTTGTTGTTAATTCTAAGCTTATAATTGACAATTTAAGGAGCTAGTATTTTTGGAAATCTCTCCAAACTTTGGGGGGGAAATCCTGGGCTTGCAGCCCTACTTAGAAACTGAGGTTTTTTTTTCCTTGGGGCCAGTCATGATACAATAGACACATTAAAAACAAGAGCAGGAATATAAAAACAACTTACATTTATGAGGCACCAAGTAGGCTAGAACCAAATAGCAACACTTTTTCCTTTCTCTCTTTTTGACATTCCTAATTTTTATTTTTACAGGATCTGGTGAAAAGCCATTTGATGTATGCAGTAAGAGAAGAAGTGGAAGTTCTAAAGGAACAAATAAAAGAATTAGTTGAAAGAAACTCTTTACTTGAACGAGAAAATGCACTGTTAAAATCTCTTTCAAACAACGATCAATTATCCCAACTCCCAGCCCAACAGGCCAATCCTGGTAGCACTTCTCAACAGCAAGCAGTGATAGCACAGCCTCCACAGCCAACGCAACCTCCACAGCAGCCGAATGTCTCCTCAGCATAAAGCTTTCTTGCCTCATTAAGAAAAAAACTGAAAGCAGTCTATCCTGTGTGCCACTGGTGTTCTTTCCACTTTATATGAAAGCAAGTAGCCATGCTTCGGTTGTGTGTTTGGCCTTTTCAGTATTAGACAATCATTCTACAAGAGCTTTTCCTCTCTTTGAGATGTCATGCAGTGCTGTTGATGTCCAGCTTTATGTCATCAATACACAAGGAGCATAATAGATGGGGTTTATTAAAGCAAGCAAAGTCTGCATTTTACCTGGTGCGCATGAGGTTCTTTAAGAGCTTTAGTGGCTCTTCATGTGTCTGTCATCCATGGATTTACCCTGAGCCTTCCTATCATATTATAAATAACAGTTCATCTAAAGAGCCACTTTTCTTTCAGTATCAGTAACATTTGCCTACATAAGTTTTCATTTATTTGTGTTTTATTTATTACAGGGCTGCTATTTTCATAATGTACATGAACAATGTCACAGAACTTTTTTAATTTTTGAATAATTATAAGTATCAGTAAAGGAATTGAAAGACAGGATTGCATTTAACAGATAAAACGTTTAGGCAATAATTGAACAAAAGAATCCTGGCATATTTCTAACACTAATGGCAATTTACCTTCGGTATTTATTTTTAGTAGTAAAGACCCAGCTTGAATGTAAATTTTGTATAGTGTAAGTATGAAGAACATAGTGCAACTGTACAGGTAGTAACCAGTTATTGTGATATAATAAATAATTGGGCTATTTTGATGAAGAAAACTTTGTTCATTTGTTTCTACTTTCTAATAGAGAAATTGCCACAATTCCTCTGCTTTTCAACATTTCGTATGACTTTTTTTGGGGTAGGGGGTGGGAATAAAAAGCTGTGAAATTGTTCAACCTACTTTGTAACCAAAGAAGCAAAGCTGTGTAATGGAGTTGGGGAGGGCGGGGGGGGGGGGGGGGGGAGAGGGAGTTGTTTGTTTTTTTTATAATGCACATTCTTTATGTATTTTTATTTAGTGTTTTCTTGGTCACAATTTTCTTTGCTGTCTAGCATGATCTGCATGACCTATACTCTTTGAACCACTTTCGTACCTCATGTTTTTATTCAGCACTCTTATTGTAATATGTACTAGTCTGTGAACAATGTCAAATAAAAAGAAAGAACAGGTAGTATGGTGGAGCTTAGCTAGTGTATTATACACTAGTTGTAAAGTACAAAAAGAAGTGAGCCATCTTTTGTTCATTTAAAATGGTGTTTTGAATTTCATATGCAGAAGACGTTTTGTTACATTGCAGATTTTAATGTATTTAATAAATGCAACATGCAGATAAAGTGCAGTGTATACTGAGTATTTAAATTTAAATGTACATTTCATAAATACAGTTTCAAGAGAAAACATCATTTTGTGTATACTAACACATTAAGTGTATGTCAGAAATTGATGTATAAATATATATTTTAACACATTTTCTGAAATTAAACTGCAGTTTTGTTGAAATATTTGGCTCTATATGTGTTCAAAATTTAATTTGATTCAATTTGTATTTTCACAGTTCAAAATATTCCTTAAATGAAAACCTATGTTATTAATGACTTTATGATAGTTTTTAAACTTGCAGAGAAAAATAATTTAAAGAATGCAAGAATATTGAGCAATATTTGTACTTAATATTCATTATGTCGATGACTTTAAGTAGGAAATCCTTGTCTACCAAAACATTTACTTGAATTCAGAAAGGTGCCTATAAAAATTAACAGGCTCTGTATCTATAGCCAGCTAGCTAATCAGCTAGCTAATGTTCTTTATCTATTTAAAAATAAAAACTTAATCAGATTAGCCATAAACTAAATGTATAATATAAAATCAGGTATATGTGGGGTTACCAAATATTTTATATTCTAGTTGTGTTGCAGGATATATTCAGTATAAACAAATTTTATGTTAATGGTAACATTAAAAATAAAGGAACTAAGTACACAGGCTTGAAAAAGCAACCTTGAAGATGTGAGTGGAGTACGGTAAGATAGTGGAACTTCCATGTTGGAATGTTAAAAGGCTCACTAGTTGTGCGCCTCTGTGAACAGTGTGATATTTAATACAGATGGAGGAAAACTAGTATTAGAAAGTTAGGAATTTGTGAAAACACAGCTTTTGATTCAGGGGATAGAAAAACACTTTATAAACAAAAGTAATAATGTTAGTTTAAAATGGTAATTGGAAGCAATTGTTATCACTTTTGCAGTTTAAAAAAATAACAATAGAAATAAAAAACGGATAGTTCACAGAAGAAATGGCAGTTTCCAGTAACATAAGACAGGCAAATTAATATTTAGCAAATTGTTAAGATAGCAGGACCCATTGTAGAAAGAACTTTCCTGTGTACTTCTAGAAAGTAACATGTATCAAGAGTTTTAAATATTAATACACTTTTCAGTTTAATGACATGAGAAGTTTCTCAACTCGGCTCAATGTTCAAAAATTAGAAAATTATAATAGTCCTCTGCTCTTGTCCCTCTCTCCCCTTTGAATCCAACCTTCTTCCACATACACAACCGAAAGTAACTGAAAGGAAGCCTTCACATCCAAACCTACTCATAAGGCACGCCTCCACTCCAAAGTCAGGGCCAAACTTAAGGATGGGAAAACTATTGTACTTTTCAACATCAGATATACTGTATTTGGAAATATCAGGCATTCTCCCAATTAGTTTGTTTAAGATCTGAAGTAAATTTCAGTTTTACTTCAGAGGTTTAGGTTCTTCTGCTCCATATAGCTGGAATATTTATTGAGATGCCAGTTTGGGGGCATAGTCTTATAGGAGTGCCATTTATAAATAATTGGTAAGGTGCATAGGCCAGGGTGCCATAAAAGTTTTCTATTACTTTAGCCAACCAGAAAATCATAGGTAGAAAATTTTGTTTTTTATATGACAATGTGTAATACAAACCTAACTTTCCCCAAAGAAAATTCGTTTTAGCTAATTACAATGATATTACAGCTTGCTATAGTCCTCCCCGCTTTTAGATATTAAGTATGCAGTTGTTTTAACACGTATCTCCCAAATAGCTGGATATTTTTCAAAGTTCTAAGCCAAGTAGAAGTATTAAGAATGTTTTATCATCTAGCCCCCAATTATGGATAATCACAGACGCCATCATACAAGAATTGTCCCAGGTCAGAGATTGTGGTATTTCTCCAACCTCCAAACTATAGTCACTCCTGGACCTTTAAGAAAGGGGTGGGGGAAGATGCCTTAAGATTAGAATAATCAAAATATCTGTTCTTCGCCAAAGCCGGTTTGGCTCAGTGGTAGAGCGTCGGTCTGCGGACTGAAAGGTCCTGGGTTTGATTCCGGTCAAGGGCATGCACATTGGTTGCGGGCACATCCCCAGTGGTGGGTGTGCAAGAGGCAGCTGATCGATGGATGGCTCTCTCATCGATGTTTCTAACTCCCTATTTCTCTCCCTTCCTCTCTGTAAAAAATCAATAAAATATATTTAAAACAAAGAAAAAAATCTGTTCTTCATAGAAATATATCTGTGGACCCAGAAATAACTAATTTTCTGGAAACAAATTGTCAAGATCTGAAGTCATGTTTTTGTTGTGTGTGTTTTTTAATGGCAGTTTTGTAGTTGAATGGCAAGCACTCTGTGATGACTCCATTTTTTTATTATTGATTAAGGTATTACATGTGTACATATCTTCCCATTGCTCCACCCTCACCCCACTCCCATATATGCCCTCCCTCCCCAGTGTTTTGTGTCCATTGGTTGTGCTTATATGCATGCACAAGTTCTTCGGTTGATCTATCTCCCCCAACCTTCCCCAACCTTCCTGCTGTAATTTGACAGTCTGTTTGATGTTTCGCTGCCTCTTTATCTTTTTGTTCATCAGTTTATAACGTTCTTTATTATCCATAAGTGAGTGAGATCATGTGGTATTTTTCTTTCATAGCCTGGACTATTTCACATAGCATAATGCTCTCTATTTCCACTTTCTTAAATAATCCTGCTGAAAGAACAAAACCTGGCCCTCAAAATTCAGTTTAATCGAGGATATAGGCAAATCATCAGGTACAATGCAATAATAATAAAGACATACACAGTCAAGGATGGCTGTCAGGAAAGTTTTCCTCAAGAGGTGGCACCTGATTGACATTTGAAGATCACAAGAGTAAGAATACTGCTCAAAGTTTTACTGTAGAACATAGAGCCCCCTGATTAGCCACAGATTTGTTTCGCTGGAGGCAGACTGGCAACGACTGCCTTCCCCACCTCAGTAGTTTGACTTCTAGTCATTCAGAAAGTAAGAATGATTTTAAGAAGTGGGTTTGTGATCAGATTTGCATTTTAGAAAAATTAATCACTCCAGTAACAGATGGAAGGTAGATTGGGGCCTGAAACTGGAAGCTGAGAACTAACTGAGGAGGCACAAAGATTCAAAAATGATGAGCAAGTGAAATTACATAGGCAGTCTCGTGATGCTCATGAAGGAAGTCTGTCTCGGGTCGTTCTGTACCATTTTTTCCTCCACGAACATTCTATTCCCAGCATCAGGTTCCTGTTCTTTATTACTCCAAGGAGAGATCAGAGAGCTGTAAATCTTAGAAAGTCTGAGTCAGATGTTTCCTTCTAACAGTCATATATCTCTAAGAAATGAAAATCTTTGTTTCCTATTAAATAAATTTTCAGAATTTAGCAAAAGTGAGGTGGGAGTGAGGACTAGATGAGTCTTGGCTGTCACTTTATGCCTCTGCATAAATTCAGCCATATAGGTAAATCAAATGTAGTACTTTTATGGTGACTGGCTTTAGAGTGGCTCAGAAGCATTAGTTCATAGCTTGCCCCTCAGAGCTATCCCTTCTCCCCAGAAAGGATAATATGGGCTCTGGCCCCATTGCAGGTACTGGCAGCCAAGTCCGAATCGGTTTTGCTAGGCTCCAACCTTCTTTGCCATAGTTCAATTCAGAAAGCTGCTTTTTTTCCTTCAATTCCCTCACCTATGTGAGACTGGATCTTTTCTCCCACCTCCTCCTACCTCAAGCCTAGTAATCCATGTTTCTATTTTCTAGCAATACTAATAGTTTATTATTTAGTCACATATATTTGAATCCTATTTTCTCCTTTTCAACATTCCAGAATGCACCTGTTTCATCTACTGGTATTTCTGTACCAGGTCACAGAATTTCTATAGCAAAATCTGTTCTCTGAATGTATTTATGTATTTCCTTTGTAAGTGGAGAGAGTGCTATTTTACAATTTCCTTAGTGGGCCACAGTTGGTATGACATGCTGTGTCACATATGAAAAAGGCTAAGTGAGGCTATAAAAGCAATCAAGATCATAGACATTCTTTTTTTTTTTTTTTCTTAATTGAATCATCCTAAAGTAAAGACAGCCTTTCAAAATTGATATGGTAAAGTAAGAAGCTGGTATTCTGCACCGGCATAGTCTACGGTTATAGCATTTGTTCAACATGCTTAGATGGTGAATTTGCTTTATTTTTCCTTCTTTCTGAAGAAACTGATAGGTAAGGCAGTTTGAGGAATTTTCCCATAGTCTGACGTCATGGGTTGAGCTATAAAACACAGCATCCAAAGGTATCCCTTTGAAAGAGGGAAGGAAAAGGTGTGCTAAGTTAATCCATAAAAATAACAGAAGCAAATGCCACACTTCTTTCTCACAAAAAAAAAACACCTCAGTTTCCCTTTTCATTTCATTCTTTTGCATGCCTGAGATATTTCTACATAATAACTGTAAAGCATTCTTGCCTCCTGAAATCTAAAATGTTTTCCAGATCAGTTCTTGCTATCATTTCATAAGCATGTGACAAATCTATCGATAAACTACCTGAGGAAGTCCCCGGACAGCAAAGGGACATTTCCCACTTTTGGCCATGTGATAATATCAGGTTAGTGTATAATTCTACTGTTCCTACTTAAAAAAAAAAAAAAAATGAGAATTTTGGGTTTTATATTTTACATTGTAGAAACACTATTGAAATGTAATGGAATTCTATTTCTGTTCAGATGCACACTGTGCTATATATTTGGGGACAGAAAGATGAATGGAACATGATTTGTTCACTTTAGGAGCTTGCAGTCCAATATAAAAGTAAAGGTTGAAGTGCCATATTCAAAGTCTAAGTCATAGTTTATGAACCTCATATCATTCGTTGAATGGAATGTTCAAATAACTCAACAGTAAAATTGTCATGCCACATGAAACTCTGACATTCTGAGGAAGTAACTTAAACTCGCCAAGAAGCTTTAATATCAAAAGATGCTTTTAAAAGAGGGGAACTGGTAAAAAGACTCTCCCATCTCTGTTTTGAGCCTATGAGGTGTCCTCTACAAAAGAGGAACCAAACTGAGAGAGAAGTTTACACTTTTTTTTTTTTTAATACTTCAAGTTTGTAGGGAATGGAACTGAATTTGTGTCGAGAATTATATCTTTGTCTAACAAGCAACACATTTTCTTGGCTGACAAAATCAGCTACCATTCAATGAACCAAGTTAAAAAAAACTCAGGTGCCTGATGCCAAAAATATATTTGATAAGAGTTAGAAATCTGGAAACAAAAATATACATTGAGTAAATGATAAAAGTGACATGTCAAAGCAACAGTAGAAGAATAATATATTTGACAAATAGTATTGAAACAACCACTTGGGAGGAAAATAAATTTAGGTCTCTAACTCATAAAAATTAATTCCAGTTATATTAGCAGTGTGTCTTATGCTTTTCAGTCACATATCCCTTTTAGAAATCTCCTTGTGAAATGCACATAAAAAGTTTGTGGGGCTTTTTTAAGAAACTCATTCATTTTTTTTTTTCTTTTAATTAACTTCAGAGAGAAAGAGAGAAGGAGAGAGAGATAAAAACAATGATGAGAGTCATTGATTGGCTACCTCCTGCATGCCCCTCCTCTGGGGATCCAGCCTGAAACCTAGGCAAGTACCCTGATTGGAATGGAACCAAGACCTCCTGGTTAAAGGTCAACACTCAATCACTGAGCCATGCCTGAATGGCAAAAATGTTTTACAAAGAGGTTATGAAGAGATGTCCAATCCCAGAAAAATAAAGGAAATGCATATTAAAACACACAAAAAAAAACCTATCTCAAACCCAATTGTAAAATATTTCTGGCCAATCAAGAACTGGCCAGAGTGTGGAAACATAGGGTCTGACATTGCTGGTGAGTGTATAAATTGGTACGACCACTTTAAATGCAAGTAAGTGGTATCCATTAAAATTTTAATTCACATGCCCTTTGACTCAACAATTTCAGTTTTTAATGAAACACACTTTACTCATTTGTGTTCATAAGGTAGCTTGTACAATGATGTCGATTACCTCTTTGTAATAGTATAAACTTGAAAAAACCAAATACCCATCAAGAAGAGGGAGCATGGTATATATTATAAAATACTAGGCATCAATAAAAAAGAATGAGATCCCACTTATACTAATATGAAAATATCTCAAAGATACAATGTTAACTTTTTTAAGTTTTGGGGGAAAATTGAAGGACAAAATGTACTATTTATTACACCATTGATGTTAAAACTCATACTGCACATATTCACACACACAGCTACTGTAGCGTGTACTTCTTCAGTACCTAATTGTGTATAATCAAAATGTATAGAGAAGGTCTGAAAGAAATAACCCAAACAGCTAAGAGTAGTTTGATGGAGTGCATTAGCTTTAACTATAACATTTGATGTGTTTGAATATGCATTCATGTATTGTTTGTGTAATGACAAAATTAATAAATTAGAAATAAAATAAAATAGAGGGTGTTTTCTTCTTGTATGTGCTGATGTATCCCCTGGTGCTCTGGGCCTCGTCATCGTCAGCCCTCTCCACTCCCCAGGATATTTTCTCTCTTTCTCCTGTTTCTTCTACTTTGCCACCTTCTCTGGCTTCTTCTCATTAGTATTTATGCAAGCTCAATAAGTATATAAAGACAAATAAACAACCCTCCTCTCCTAACTGGGAATGTGCTCCTTCCACTTGCTTTTTCTGTTACCTTTTCTTCCCTTCCACTTCCTCTTCCACTCTGCTTGTCATGCACATTCTGGTTGGGCTCCCACTGTGCCACCAAACTTTGTGCTCATTTCATCTGATATATTTCCATTCTTACTGTATTTACTGTTTTACCCATTTCTATTTATCATTTGTTTAGTCTAATAGATTGTTTTTTATCTCATATTTCTCCTTTTCATTTTTTAGGATATATATATATATATATATATATATATATATATATATATATATATGAAATTTTTAACCAATCTATCTTTTAATAGATTAATCTGTTCCCATTTCTTAACATTAACATTACTGACATACTTGGATGTATTTTTGCCATTTTATTTTCTGTTATCTCCTCAAAATGCTGCGATTTTTCCCCCCTTTTTCTGGCTTTTATTTAATTTGTTTCCTTATTCATTTTTTTACCCCTCTAATGTTTGGGGAATTATACATTCCATGTCCATTCTCCCAGTGATTTAATCTTACAATGTATCATTTTGTGGAAATTTTCAATCATATACTGAAGTAAATCCTATATAATAAAATGCTAATATGCAAATAGACCAAACAGCGAAACAACCAAACAACCAGTCGCTATGATGTGCGCTGACTACCGGGGCATGCACAAAACATGGAAGGTGTTGGTGGAGCAGGTGAGCCGGGGCACCACACCAACACAGGGCACCAGTCACTGTCATCGGGGCAAGCCTCTGGTGGTTACTGAACATTCTTTGCTCCTGCACACTTCAGTCCCGCCTGGTGCTTGCACCTGTTGCTGGTGCCCTCCGTGGGTGTGAGCTGTGGCTGCGAGCTGTTTCTCCACCTCCCCATGAGGGGCAGTCGGGGACGGCAACCACTTCTTACACCTGCTGTCAGCAATGGCCCCCCTCACACCCTCTGCCAGTGCTGGAGCCACGGCTTATACCCACTGTCAGCACCGGGCCTGCTAGCACCTGCAGCCCATGCCCTGTGCCAGTTCTGATCACTTGGCACCATTAGCAGGTGCAAGTGGCAGCTGCCGGCCCTGATTACCCCTGGGGGCTTCTCCACCTTGCCCTGCTCCTGAGAGGTGATTGGGGCAGCAGCTGCTGCTTGCACCCGCTGATAGTACCGGCCCCAATCATTCGGCTCTATCAATGTGGGAACAGCAGAGGAGGCAGTGGGACTGCCTGCAGACAGGGGACTGAGGGCCGGGCATGGTGCGGAGGATGGACCAAGATCTGCCCCATGCCCACGGCAGCCTGGGAACTCACAGTTCCTTTCAAGGCTCACAAATTCATGCACTGGCCCCCTGAAGTATAATAAACTCCTATGTACCTATAAACCAGTTAACTGATTACCTAGCCCAGCCAGTATAGCACAGCAGTTGAGTGTCGATCTATGAACCAGGAGGTCACAGTTCTGTTCCTGGTCAGGGCACATGCGCAGGTTAAGTCTCAGTCTCCAGTAGTGTGCATGCAGGAAGAAACCAATGGATGATTCCCTCTCATCATTGATGTTTCTATTTCTCTTTCCCTTTCCCTTCCTCTCTGAAATCAATACATATATTTATATATTTTAAAAAATGATTACCTAGTCATGGCTAGTTTTTTATTACTTATACTCATACCCATTTACCCCACTGTCCTCTGGATTATTGCAAAAGTAATTCAAGATATCATAATATTTCATATATATATATATATATATATATATATGTATATATATATAATATTTCAGTATATACCTCTAAAATGTTTTTATTTTTAAAGCCTCTTTATATTTATTTTTTTAATGATCATCATTTTTACTTTTTTAATAAATTTATTATTTTTTTTTTTTTTTAGAGAGACAGAGGAAGGGAGAGGGATAGAGAGGTAGAAACATGAATGATGAGAGAGAATCATTGATAGGCTGCCTCCTGCATGCCCTTTAATGGGAATCGAGCCCAAAACCTGGTCATGTACCTTGACCGGGAATCAAACACTGACTTCCTGGTTCACAGATAAATGCTCAACCACTGAGCCTCACTGGCTGGACTGTATTTTCTGTAAATTTTTTAGGTGTAGAAGTTTAATCAGATTTGGGTTTATATTTTGTCAATATTAATTCATAAATAATGGTGTATGCTTCCATCACATAATGTCCAGTTATCTCAATTTTGTGATTTTGATAATCATTGATAATCATTGC